AGTGGCACGTTTTAACTATTTTTTGCATGACTGGAGGAGATAAGCAGCACTGTAGTGTTTGGTGTACAAAATAATGTTTAATCCAATGTGAAAAAGAATTACACTAGTTTAAACAAACGTGCATTGACTTGTATTTGTTAGTGTTTTAGTCTTTTTGAGAGAGATCTGCTATGTTAATGTTCCTTTTTTTAATACATGCTAGTCCAACACTCCCTTCTCTATGCCTGCATCTTTAACAGTGGCCAAAGTGAAAACGCTGCAGACTATTTGTTAACAAAACACTGAGTTAAAGCCTGTACCTTTTTTTTTTTTTTTGGTGTGCTTTTGGGAGGGAAATGTGGTAGGGTGTGGAGGAGGGAAAAGTTGGTTGAAAGTGATTAGACATCTACAGGTACTTCAGGATAAAGCTGCAGTTCATGTAATATCAGTATTGCTAGGCTTACATTTTCCCCACTGAAAATACTTAAAAGCTGATGTTGGCAGAAATCCAAAGAGTACATCCAGGGAGAAATACTCAATTCTTAGCTTTGGGAAACATGCAGCAGATTTAAAAACAAAACAAAAAAAAACAAACAAAAAAATCCCCTCAACCAGAATAAAAAAAAAATATATATATATATAACCTAGGTCCATAAGCAATTAACAAATTGATTCTGGTCCCTTATGTGTGTATGGTGTGTGTGCACACACTTGTGTGTGTTCTCGTGCGTATGTTTGCTCTGCTTTATTTCTTTTAAGGGTTTTGCTGTTTAGCTCCTAATTTTTTTCCAGCCTGCCTGATTTTCATCAATCTTTCTGGCTGTGCATTTTCTCATTAGCTTGATCTGTTTTGGAAAACAGAAAACCAAAACAGAGATACTGAGTCCATTTTTAAGTTGCTATCTTCCCCCTCCTCTTCCTCTTCCTCCTCACCCTTTCTCATTCTTTTCCCATATTTTGGGTTCGTAAAGCCCTGGAACTATAGATTATATATATATAAATATAAGCCTCTTTTTAAAAAAAAAAAAAAAAGAAAAACGTTTACAGCTGAAAAATAATCTTGTGAAAAATAGGGTTTGTTTGGAGGGGGGGTTGTCTGTGTGCAATGCTGCTGTTACCTGGATACTTTAATGGAGCATGTCACATGTACCCTCTGAGGCACTGCCCACCTCTGGCCCCTCCTCACCTCTCTGCTGCTCTGCTGTTTTACCTTCACTTGGACCTTAAACACAACTCACGGACACTATGCAGAGAGTCTTCAAGAGGCAATAAACAGAACAGTATTAACCTGCTTTCATGGAGGTTTGATCATGCTTCTTTGTACAGTTTGTTTTTTTTATTTTGAGGAATGTAATAAAATGGCTTTTTTTGTAGAATTAAATATTATTATTAAAAGCAAGTGAAAGGTTGACTGTTGGTGTTAAGCAGGTGAAGCGGACCAGCTGGTCTAGCAACCAAAGGAGCTTCAGCAGTCAAGGTATTTTCAAACGCTTTACTCCTGAGCCTTCCAAGTGCATGGGTTATAACAAGAATACAAACGTCTTTAACTTGCATGAAGAGTTGCAAGCACACACAACACAAAAGCAATCTAATTTTCTAGTCATTGTGCAGTAAGCTGCCTCTCCAGAGACTCTTCTCCCCTTGTTTGCTTTTTAAAACTGGTAGTTGCCTCTACTCCTTGAGAGCCTGATAGGGTTGATCCTTCCCTTTTCAGCTGTAGCACACATTGAGCACACGTGGAGTAACAGCAGGGAGTAAACATAGGCTAGTTAGTACAGTAGAAAATCTGTATTTTTATCACTGGAAACATCTTTTAGAGCAAAGAGCTGGTAACTGAATGTTATGGGCTGTTTTGTGAATCTCCTTATTGTTTTGTGGAGAAGTGCTGTTGCAGTCAGGAACTTCAAATTTCTATCACCCTTTCAGAATGTCCTACTTACATGTCAGTATACTAATATTTGCCAAATAAAATACATACACATGAACTTTTTTGAAAGGCGAACAGTGGATTGGAGAACTTAAAGAGTTTGGCTCCCTTGTGTTCAGATGCTCCCAGTGTGGATGGTACTTCCTTTGCTAGTTTGGAGAAGAGTATGTATAGTGCTCAGGGAGGAAGAGAAAGGATTTGAAACAATTGCATGCATGCATTTGGACATTAGGTGTTAATATTGCTTAGGAAAACCTTACTTGAGGATTTGTTGATATAAATGGACACACCTATCTGATAAATTTACTCCTTACGTATTCATCGCTCCTGAAATAGTGAGATGTGTAGAGGTTGTGTTGGGGGGGAAGATTTCTTGTTTTTACTTTAAAAAAAACAAAAACAAAAATCCCACTAGTGTGTGGTAATGAGGAAATATTTCGCACTGAACGTGAACTTTACAGACATCAGCTTTATATGCTCTATTTTCTTTAGTTCCATTTGCTAAAAAACACATGCTGAACTTTCATACAGTTGCACTAACACTAACTGGGTATTTGATTTTGGAAGCTTGTGTTGAAAAGGTAGTCAGCATAACTGGATTAAAATAGTGCTAATACAGCTTATGCTGACAAAAGTATTTTTGTATTTTTTAATATTTGAGAGCGCCATTTAGAAACTCTTGTTTGCAAAAATAAGTTTCTTAAAACTAAATCTGATGGACTATTGGTGATTATAACAGTAGAGAATTCCTTTGTTCAACTGAACTTGTTTACAATTTATGTCTTACTGTGTCAATGTATAGATTGTATCTTAAGCTCTGTATTTAATACTTTAATGTGTTTTATAAAATCTCCTCTTCTTGGAATGCTACAACACCTCGTCCAGAACACACTGGAAGGCCAACGCTTGACGCCTCTGTGGACTGTAATATTTTTGTTCTGAGCTAAAGGTCGCTCTTGGAGGGTTTTTTCCACTTCACATGCTGTCGTTCATGTGTGATACTTACTCAGGAAATAACTTCGGAACTTCTGTGTATGTCAGACACAAAGGAGACACTTCTTCAGATATTATACTGGACTTCAAATTCCTACACATGAAACCAGTGACATTTGCTAAATCTTTACTCCCCCTAATTGGAAAAAACCTGCCAGTAAAATATGTAAGGGACCTTAAGGGCTTAGAGAGACTTTGTGAAAGCAAATTGCATGTACAATATCTTTCTCATGGCTCGCTCTTTTTGAGAAGGTTTATGGGCTATATGGCTGGTGTGAGACAAACGACCCACTCCTGTTCTCTCTATGGAATTGTAGGTGCTCGGACAGGTAACCTCTGTTGCTACTGTTTTTTTTTTGTTTGTTTGTTTTTTTCCATTTTTAATTTTTTTTACTATTCTAGGAATTGTTTTAAACTGTAACACTGCAGGATTTATAACCAGGTGTTTGCTGCCTTTTCCTTTGTTTTATTTCTTTAAGTCTCTCTTAACCTTTGAGGGTGACTTTTGGAGCATTCTGATGGAAGATCTTGGCCTGCTGTTGGAAATTTCCAAGCCTCTCGTATTTCCACTTTGAGTTGAAAAGTTTTGTTTTGTTTATTTGTTTACACTGATGTTACAAATTTGATGTGTGGATTTTGGGTGGGTACTGTTATTGCTCTATTTTGTGTGACTTCTCTCCCTTTTTTTAGAGAAATGTGTTCTAACAGTTCACACTTTCTCACTGTTCTTTGCAAAACTTTTCAGGAGGCAAAAAAGTCAAACAGTCCAGAGAAAACCTTCCCTTCTCCCTTTTCTGATGGCGAGAGTGAGAACTTATGAAAAGTCCTTGAGAATGTTCCTTCCTAAACTTTCCCCCCCAGTAATGCAAGCGGGTAAAATGGTAAACGCAGCAGTTTGGTGACATCCAAAACCGACCTGTTGTCAGGTAAATTGACTGTTTTCTGATCTTATTGTAACCTTCATAAGTTTGCTAACTTGTCTACCTTCCTTTCTTCCCATTTTCCCCATCAGTTCATTCTGGTGAAACTTCTCGAGTGATTTCTTTAACAGTGATATTTAGGAAAAAATCCTGCTTTTCTGTTTCCCATCTTTATACATGCTGACCTTTAAGAAATCTGTCATTATCCTTTACTTTGCTCAGGTGAAACAACAGTGAGGGTAGATTAAAAGCTGCCTGATGTAGATATATGAGGGATAGTTTTCTAATACATTAATTCTGTCTCTTCTTTATCACTTTTAAATTAATTTTCCTTCCAGTGTGCTATTTTAGTTTAGGTATTAGAAAGATAAGATACTTTTCAGTTGCAAAGTGAGCATAAAATTTAACTGCATCAATTAGGAGTTGGCAGGTATGAAAAAACTAGCACCAAGGTTAAATTAAATCTAATAAAATTTGATAGAGCAGGATCCTGTAAAGAGGGCAGATGGGAGAATATCTATGCTAAAGAAAACAACTGTGGGGTTGATTGCATCTTTTGGGGGCGGGGGAGCATTTTATGTTTTCCTCACTGCTATATCTAAATACTTGCGTACTTTGTCCTTCTCTAGTACCTCCCTCCCTTGATCTCAAACTATTTTAAAGGTATTGGGATCTTATATTTTCTACTTCCTCTAAGGAGGAGAAGCTATATTTTACACACAGAATCTGAGGCAGAGACAAATATCAGACCATTGGAATATCATTCGAAATAGGAAGTATATAGGCTTCAGATAGGCTTTCAAATTTTGCAGTGTTTTATTTCCCAGTACACCTGTAAAGAATTAGCATTAGTTTCAGATTTTTTTTTTTTGTGTGCACCAAAAACTCTTCTAGATCATCATAAAATGCTTTTCATCTTTGCAATCGGTATTTTCTTGGAATGCAGCAAATTTGCCAGCAGTGCCATAAAGTGCAGCTTCAAATTAGGGTGGAACGGAATAATTTTTAGAGCCAAATTTTGCTCTCAATTACACTGAGGTAAACCTGGAATCACTCTATGAAAGTCAGTGGAGTGATATCCAATTTCACTGGTATAATTGAGTGTATAATTTGTGTCTTTAATTTTACTTGCAAGGTAATTTTACAGACCTGTTGTACTTATTTT